AAGACTGTACCAGAATTTGTTGCATGCAACTGAAGCTGCTGTTTTGGATTTGGTTTTGTAGGGTCATTTTCTTTTTCCTTCTTTTTTTATCTTCTGATTTGATGACTGTATTTAGTGTTGTGCTTGGATTTTTTTCTTTTTTCTATGTATATCTTTTATAGTTTTTTGGCTTGTGGTTACCATGAGGTTTTGATATAGCAGTCTCTCTCTCTACACACACACACGGACACATATATATACACGATTGCTTAAGTTACCGATCTCTTAATTTCAAATGCGTTTCAAATATCCTGATTTTGTACTTTTCACCTCTCACAGTTACTGGTTTATATATTATATTTGTGTGAGGGTAGTTTGCTTTACTATATGTTTGGTTTATCCAGTGAGATTTCCCATTTTGTAATTTTAGTGTTTCTAATTGTTGCCTTCTCTTTTTTTATGTAGAGCAGTTAGTTTGGCGTTTGATTTGGTGGTGCTGAATTCTTTTAGTTTTTGCTTGTCTGTAAAGTTTTGATTTCTCAAACAAATATGAACAAGGTCTTTGCTAGGTAGGGTATTTTTTCATTGAGTTTCTTCCCTTTCATCACTTTAAATATATCATGCCACTCAATTCTGGCCAGTACAATTTCTGCTGAAAAATCAGCTGATAGTCTTATAGGGATTCCCTTGTTGGTTATTTTGTTTCTTTTTCTTCATTGCTTTTCATGTTTTCGCTTTGGTCTTTAATTTTCATTAGTTTTACTACTGTGTTTCTGGGCCTGTTCCTCTTTGGGTTAATCCTATATGGGACTCTGTGCTCCCTGGACTTTGCTGAATGTTTGATTTCCCACGTTAGGGAAGTTTTCTGCTATTGTCTCCTCAAATATGTTTTAGGCCCTTTCTCTTCTCCTTCTGGGACCCCTGTTATGTTGTTGTTGGTGTATTTGACAGAGTCCCAGAAGTCTCTTAAATTGTCCTTTTTCCTTTTGGTTCTGTTTTCTTTATTCTCTTCCATAGCAGTAGTTTCCAGCTCTCTGGCTTCCAGCTTACTTATCCATTCATCTGCCTCATTTATTTTGCTGTTGAGTCTTTCTCATGTATTTTCATTTCAGTTGTTGTATTCTTCATCTCTTTGGTTGTTCTTGGTATTTCCTGACTCTCTATAAACTTCTTGTACCTTCCTGCTCTGTGTATCCATTACTCTTAACTCTTTCCTTGGATAGATTGCCTATCTTCATGCCATTAGTTGTCATTTTGGGTGTCTTTCTTTTTGCTTCCTCTGGAACATATTCCTCTGCCACCACATTTTGTCTGAATTTTTATTTATATTTTTGTGTATGTGGAAGTTTAATTATGTTTCTCAACTTTGAAGAAGTTTCCTCCAATAGGGGATGCCCTCTGTGTCCAAGCAGTGCATTTCCCTCTTATTACCAAGGACCAGTGACCAGCTGGTCCCAAGGTCGGTTCTGACCTGACTTCGTAGACTCAGTTCCAGAAGGTGCTGTGTGGTAGTTTTCTTGCTTCTGGTGTCTGCCCTCTGGTGGGTGAATCTGGTCAGAGCATTGTCCAGGCTTTCTGGTGAGAGGCCAGTGTCTGCCCCCTGGTGGGTGAGGCTGTTCCAGAGGCTTGTGAAGGCTTCCTGGTAGGAGAGGCTGTTGCTTGCCCCCTGGTGAATGGAGCTGGGTTTTGGTTCTCTGGTGGGCAGGGCTGTGTCAAGGGCCATGTCTATAGGTGACCACAGGCTCAGAAAGTCTTTAGGCAGCCTGTCTGCTAATGAGTGGCCAGTACTTTGGTCACCTGATGTGAAGAACTGACTCATTGGAAAAGACCCTGATGCTGGGAAAGATTGAAGGCAGGAGGAGAAGGAGACGGCAGAGGATGAGATGGTTGGATGGCATCACTGACTCAATGGACATGGGTTTGAGTAAGCTCTAGGAGTTGATGACGGACAGGGAAGCCTGGCGTGTTGCAGTCCATGGGGTTGCAAAGAGTCAGACATGACTGAGCGACTGAACTGAACTGAACTCCTAATGAGTGGGGCTGTGTTCCTGCCCTGTGGATTGTTTGGCCTGAGGTGCGCCAACTTTGGAGCCTGCAGGCTGTTGGGCAGGGTGTGGTCTTGCTGCTAATTAGCCATGTGAGATGTCTGCTCTAACAAAGAGCTCAAGCAGAGGATCACTCCCCAGCATTGCCACTGCAGCTTGTATGACATTGGAGAGCCACAGCTGCCCCCGCCGCCACAGGACACCCTCCAAGACCAGCAGGTAGGCCCCGCCCAGTCTCCTTTGAGGTCTCGCCTTTGCTGGGCCCCTGCTCTCATAGGGCCTTGCGTGCGCCCTCCACGTGTGGAGTCCATCCCCAGTCCTGTGGAGCTCCTGTAATCAAGCCCCTCCGCTGTGAAAGCCAAATGCTCTGGAGGCACCTCCTCAGTACCAGACCCCTACCCTGGGGAGCCTGGCTTGAGGCTCCGAACTCTCTCTCCTATGTGAGAACTTCTGTGATATAATTATTATCCAGTTTGTGGGTCAGGATATGGAATTTATTATATCACAAGTGTGACTCTCTTACCATTTTGTTGGGCTTCTTTTTGTCTTTGGATGTAGAGTATCTTTTTTCAAAGGTTCCAGTCTTTTTATCCATGGTTGTTTAGCAGTTAGTTGTGATTTTGGTGTTCTCTTGAGAGGAGCTGGGCTCAAGATCTGTTTTCTCCACCATCTTGTCTTCAGTCACATACATGATACTTGGTTTTTATTGAATTCTAGGTTAAAATATAAGAACCATAGCAAAGACTTTGTTTGGGAAAGTTGAACATGCACTGTATTATTAGATTTGATAATATTTTATCAGTGGCAAATTCTTTGGGACCGTAGTATTGCAGTTATGCAAGAAAATGTCCATATTCTTCAAAGATATGTGTTTAAATATTTAAGGGTGAAATGTTATTATGTCTGAAGTTTACTTTTACATGGTTCAACAAAGAAGAAAAACTATATATATGTGGTGCATAGAGACACATGAAATTAGTGTAGAAAATACTAACAATTGTTAAAGGATGTCAATTTTGCTGTAAGTCTGGAATTTTTCAAAATTAAGATGGAGTGAAAGCCAACAACATCGAATCATTTAATAAAGATGCATATATGTGTGACAAAGCTGTATCATAAAATATAAAGCAGAATAAAATTTAAGATGATTGTTCTTTTTGGGTGAAGCAAGGAACTTAGAGAGGGAGAAGCCAGCATAGCTCATTTTGTGTGCTGATAACACTGATTGTGCCTTGGATTCATTAGTGCTTATTTATTTTTACTATGACTTGTGACTCACATATATGTGATGTGTTATTTTGTATATAGCAGATGTTCTATTAAAACAGTAAAAGAAATGAAGAGATTGAATTGACTGGATTAACTGTGCCATGCGAAAAGGAGAAATATTTCATGACACACTCTATCTCGGAGGGAGAATTTTTTAAAGGTTAGGATGGGCTAGGAAGAGGAGAACACCTGTGTGATTTTCTCTGACCCTATTTCCCAAACTTATTTGACCAAGGAAACTCTCTTCATATAACATACCTTGAAGTACTGGAAAAGGAAATGGCGACCCACTCCAGTATTCTTGCCTGGAAAAATCCCATGGACAGAAGAGCCTGGTGGGCTGCTGTCCATGGGGTCACAATAGTCAGACATGACTTAGCGACTAAACCACCACAAGGACTATTGAATTAATGGTCTCAAGAGTCCTTTTGGGAAAAAAGAATACAAGTGAACTTATTGAAAAACAGAGGTAGAGTCGCAGATGTAGAGAACGAACTTATGGTTTCCAGGGAATAAGAGGGAGGAGGAATAAATGGGATATTGGGATTGGCATATACATACTACTGTATATACAATATATAACTAAAGAAAGAGGGATAAATGTATATGTATAACTGATTCACTTTGCTATATACCTGAAACTAACAGCACCATAAGTCAACTTGATTTTTTTTTTTTTTAAAGCCCTTTTGGGAAAAGATGCTTAAACAGGACTAACAAGAATTTTAAAATTTAGCCTGTTGATAAAAACAAACTTTATTTCTTAATAAAAATAAATACTATCTGTCTAGTTAAATTAATGGAAACATTTCAACCTTGATTTTAGGAAGACAATTAGCTTCTTATTAACCACCCTGTTCCATCCTGAATATTTAATTATGAAATGATTTTTTTTCTTTTTATGAAACAGTTACAAGAAGTTATAGTCTTTGGATTTTAGTTTTTTTTCCACAACCTGACTATTTACCATCTTCAAAGTGAAATCTTTAATAATCTAGAATCCTATGTGTCCATTAATGTTTAGGCAAGTATAGTGGTGAGGATGGACTAGCTGTTGCTATGGCAATAAACCCATATCACAGTCTTGATGCTTAGCGTTTCTTGTCCTAGCCACCTGGGGCAAAGGGCTTTGCCTCCTGCAGTCATTCAGGCATCTTTGCTGTTGTAATTTTTACTGTTTTCTAGTTGTTCCGTTTGGGACATTCAACCTCCTCAGTCTCTGTATCAGGTTAAAAACTAGAGGAGCAGAACTGCCCTGGGAACTTCAGCCTGGAAGTGACCCACGTTACATCTAGTTATAGTACACTGGCCAGAACTAGTCATGTGGTCCTATCTAACTGGAAGGGATTTGGGAAATACAGGGCAGCAACTGGTCTCTGCCATAAATAATAATACTAGGACTAAATTGGAATCGTGGGAAGCTTGACAAAAAGGTAATTTATGTAGGCATGTTCGCATACATGCTTATTCATAGTGGGAGTTTTATTTTTAACCTACCTCTAAGATGTTGAAGATCACAAAGTTTTTTTTAAATAGTATCACTTATTTTGGGGAAGTCTGTGGAGGTCGATTCCCCTTGGGGTTGAGTGTAGATAATTGGGATATGGTGTATAAATGAATCAACAAAAGCAGCTGGAGGAGGAATTATTTACATAAAATTAATCTATACATTAATATTTTTCTGTCATCTCTCCCCCATTATGGTAGCATGAAAACATTCCTTTTGAAGACAAGACTGCATCAGTTAAAGTGGTAAGTTCATATAATAGTAAGCTCAGTGTTGTGATGTTGAGACTATTCGTTGGTTAATTTACATGTACATGTCGTGGATTAAGAGAAGACAGGTATAGTAAGATCATGTAATGCACACACTATTTTGTGTAATAGAAAATTTGGTCTCTTAGATTTTTATCCAGGAAAAAATAATCTTGTATGTTAATTTGAAACCAGTGTGTATTCAGGATTATTCTTCATCAGAGAACATTATATGAATTTTCTGAATTCCCAGTGCCTTCTAGGTCCTGAGAATACAGATGGGGATCAAGACAGCAGTGTCCTCGATCCATCTAATGGAGCTTGCAAGTCATTATAGTTTTATGTGAGCATTTAAACATGGGATTAAGTGTTAAATTGTTAGTCACTCAGTTGTGTCTAACTTTTTGTGACCCAGTGGACTGTGTAGCTCACCAGGTTCCTCTGTCCATGGAGTTCTCTAAGAAAGAATGCTAGAGTGGGGTGCCATTCCCTTCTCCAGGGGATCTTCCCTACCCAGGGATGGAACCCAGGTCTCCTGCACTGCAGGCAGATTGTTTACTGTCTGAGCACCCAGGGGAGCTAAGGATGGCGGAAAGGGAAAAGTAAAAGAGTAGTTTCCTCCTTGAGGAAGTGCTGCTTTACCTGAGGCCTCAAGGAGCTAGGCAGACTGAGGGGGAGAACTTATGAGCGTTATAGGTGGAAGGAGCAACAGCGAAGCCCCAGAGAGAGAGGAACATGTAGAGCGTTCCAAGAGCTGAAGGAGAACCAGAAGTATACTTAGAACAAGCGGGAAAGTGGCAGGAAAAAGGCAGACTATCTAGGCAGAGGCCAGACCTGCAACTTCTTGGAATTTTAAGGGCTTTGAAACTTATCCTCAGGGCAAGTGATTGAAAATTCTTAAATACTTAAGCAGGGATGTGTGGCAAGATCAGATTTTAAATTTTAAAACATTACTTTGTTGAAAATGTGTGGAAATATTCTAGAGAATAGCAAAAGTGGACATACAGAGAACTATTGTGAGACTTGCCAAATTGGGATGAGAGATGAAGATAAGGTAGTGTTTGTAGATAAGGTAGTGGTTCACTTTTAACTACTCTGTAAGAGATGTGTTCAAGTTTGTTTTGAATGGTGGACATAGTATTTTCTTTGACTTCTTTTCTTACATTTCTCTCTTAGGATTTTCTGTGGCATCCAGAGGTTAATGGTTCTATGAAACAGTGTATCAAAGTGTGGACTGAGGTCTGTATTTGAAAATATGGCCTTGCTGGTTTTGAGCAGTCAAATTTTGAAAGCTGATTCTCCTACACTCACCTGTCCTACTCTCCTCTACTTTATACCAACCTTCTTGATTTCAACCATGCTAGATTGATTGTCACTTTACAGTCAGAGTTACAGAGAAAATAAAGTTTTGATCCAGTGTCCCTGGACATTAACCATTCTAACCCTGTGGTGATTAGGCTTATACCACACTTTGCTGATTTAAAGCTTTCTGTTACTGTTGTGTGTGTCTGCATGCTCAGTCATGGCCCACTCTTTGCGACCTTGGCTCCACTATCCATGGAATTTTCCAGGGAAGAAAAATACTGGAGTAGGTTGCCATAGCTCAGTTAATTCAAACTCAGATAATCTTTTTATCACAATACACATTTGCTTGAGCAATTTTCCACTTTGTTCTTCAAACTTATGTCCTGATACTTCTGAAAAACAAAATTTTTTTTTTAATATCCCTATTCCCTTTTATTATTACATTTGTGACCTAAAAGTCAAGCCTAGTGTGTTTTGGTTCATAATGTTTGGAGATAAATTAGATATAAGACAAGAGTGCTGTTAACCTCAGAAAACCCCTAACTTCTCATAAGTCCACTTTAGTATTCCCACAGTGTCTCCATACATCTCCTTGTCGGTCCTTTGATTAAACCTGTATCCTTTCCCAGAGGTATTTGCAGTTTCGATGGATAAAACCATATCCGACTTTGTTGGCCTTGCTTTGCTTAATCACTTGTGTGGCAATGGCATTTTTCTTTGCTTCTTTTCATAGTAAGTGTTTTAACACAGCAACTGTAACACAGTAAATAGAATTTTATAGGATCCAGTGAGAACCTAGTCAGCATTTTTAACTTTGTTTCCTTGAGAAAATGTTTAAGTTTTCTAAAAACAAACATACAGACAACTTTTAGAATTCAACTTTCCTGGAAAATTTGGATCTCACATAATTTTGTTTTGTTTTTATTAATATGTTTTCAAATGTCCAGAAATAAGAATAATGTTATGTGTATATTTCAGATGATTTAAACATGTGATTTGTATTTATGCTGAACCTGATAATATATCCATTAAAGTTGTAGAAATTCACAGTTAAACAACATCAGTGTAATATAATTTAGAATTCAGGCAAGATCACAAAAACCTTTGTTATAACTAAGCTGAAGATATATTGTGTATTCAGATCTTCTGTTCTTATAGTTTACTAATGCTTGATTTTGGAGCTTTAGGTTCTATTGTAAAACTCCTTTTGATTCTTGGGGGAGAGGAAATATTCTGCTTATTTGGATAAATGGTCATGTAATTACCTGAGATTGATTAGTTGACTGGTTTTAATTATTCAAGGAGTATGTTTGCATATATTCATGTATTTTTTACTGTTTCCATAGTAAGTTGCTGAATCCTGAGGATACATATTTTTATTATGTGTATACTATAACTAGCTTTGTTCTCGGTATTAGGAATGTGGCTGGAAATTAGCCCCAGTCTCAGCCCTCAAGGAGTGTGCAATCTAGAAGGTAGACTAGACTTTCTTATGAATGATGACATGATAATATGAAGGGTGACGATAGACTTGGCCCCAGAGAACTATGAAAGCACCATGGACAGAGGCACTTAGGATGAGAGTTGTTTAGCGTATAGGTGAAGATCTAAGAAAGCTTTTCAGAGGAGATAAGAAGAACATTGGCTTAGAAAGATATGAACTGAAATAACCTTACAGATACTTATAGGCATAAAAGCAAAGTTGAATTTAACTCCACTGTTATTCAACAGATATTTATAAATCATGTCATATTTTAGGCCTCAGGCTAAACATTGCTGATACTTTGATTAACATAACAGAGTTCCTCTCCTCAAAGAGCTTCTAGATGACTGGCAGATATGGGTAATTAAGGAAACCAGCAACTTAGATTTATTTCTATAGATGAATGGTAAGCATTAGGTCTGAGTTACTTAGACCAGTTTTGGGGAGTCTTGGTATGAAGTGAGGTGATATTTGAAGCTACTTGAATGGAAATAATTGAATAGACAGCAAGTATAGATTAAAGAAGAGGATGTAGGAATGAAACAAAAGATTCTGAGAGAAAGCAGTAAAAGAGGTAAGGCAACAAAAGCAGAAAAATAACTGTAATATAACACACACAGAAGGAAAGAGTTTTAAAAGTGGATAGTAGTATCACTTTAGGAACCATAAAGGATAGACTGAAACTACAGGACTTGGCAATTTAGAATTAATTAATGAGCTCTGAGGGAAGTTTTAATGGATTATTAACTCAGAATTAAAACGTGATAAATTGAGGCATAGATGAGAAAGAAATTAGCACAGTGAAAGCCGAACACCCTTCTGAGTAATCTGTTGGTCAAAAGTAAACGGGAAGCATTTGAGAATGAGACAGAATTGAAGGAACATTTTTTGAGGATAAAGATGATTTGACATTTTGTATATTGAGAGAAGGACGAAGAGAAGAGGATGAAAGGGATAATTCCAGAGTTTGAGAGGATAACTTACAGACATAGCTCCAGATGTAAAAAGGGAAGAGATACAGACTCAGAGTAACACATTGGCCATTAAGTAGAATAGGGATACGTTTGGTTTACTCTTCATCTATCAGAAGATGACAGACTGTGAGTATATGGATAGAGTTGTGAGATGGGGCAAGGAAGGCAAGAGCACACGGACTGGATGAGTTCTGTTTTTCTCTGTGAAGTTTGAGGATTAGGCTTTATGCCAAAAGTGAGGAGGAGGGCAGGAGGGACCTGTGTAAGAAAAGTATTTAGTATGATTTGAGATTGCTTCTGTGAAGAGTGAGGAAGGGAGCCACCTACAGATGAGGAAACAGTTTCGGTAAAATAGCAATATAAAATGGGGCATGCTAGCCTGGAAACTGGAATATCTAACAGGAAATAGACTAATTTTGTTATTACATTTCTCTGCTTTCATAGTTCTCTACACTTAGCATGTTTTACCTTCATAATGAGACCGTAACTGTCACTTCTCTTTTTGTATATGGCTTGGACATTTTCTGATTTCTTACTTTTAATTGTTTCTTGTGCACACGATTGTAATATCAGGTCTTCTGTGTTGTGAAAAGTACATTGAACTCAGTAGTCAGAGACTTAAGTTCTGGTTCTGTCTCCGCCAGGCCTCAGCAATACCTATAAACCTGAGTCTATAGCCTTTTTAAAAAAATAATATATACATATGTACATGTATACATATGTATATCTCCCTGCCTGTCTCACAGGTGGCAAGAATCTATATTAAAATGAGCTAATTTAAGAGAAATACTTAGTAAATTACCAAGTGCTTTGCAGTTGGTGTATGTGTGCTTGCTTGTGTTTCTGTGACCCTGTGGACCATAGCCCGTCAGGCTTCTCTGTCCATGGGCTCTTCCTAGCGAGAATGCAGGACCGTGTTGTCATTTCCTCCTTCAGAGGATCTTCCCATGCCAGGGATCTCCTTTGCCAGGTGGATTCTTGACCACTGAACCAACAGGGGAGCCTCTATATAATTGGTAGTATTATAAATAATATAATTTGCATTAGGTGAGGATTTCGACCAAATTTCTCCTTGTTTTTTTTCTGTATTGTGGTCTATAATAGTCAGTTAACTTTGTTAAATACATACCAGACCAGCTTTCCCCAAAGATCTTGTCTCCTTAGAGCCCTACTTTTATTTAACACTGTAACTGTGTACCCTGTAGGCTTCCAAAGATTCTTTTTAACTGGCTGACATAACATACTAGAACTTTACATGATTTACTCAGAATTCAGAATAATATTAGGCTGTATTAGATTTTAGTGGTGTTTTTTTGGTTTGGGTTTTATCTTTAGTTCAGCTCAGTCGCTCAGTCATGTCTGACTCTTTCGACCCCATGGACTGCAACACGGCAGGCCTCCCTGTCCATCACCAAATCCTGGAGCTTACTCAAACTCATGTCCATTGAGTCGGTGATGCCATCCAACCATCTCATCCTCTGTTGTCCCCTTCTCCTCCCACCTTCAATCTTTCCCAGCATCAGGGTCTTTTCCAATGAGTCAGCTCTTCGCATCAGGTGGCCAAAGTTTTGGAGTTTCAGCTTCAGCATCAGTCCTTCCAGTGAATATTTAGGAAGTGACTTCCTTTCCTTTGTGACTTCCTTTAGGATGGACTGGTTGGATCTCCTTGCAGTCCAAGAGACTCTCAAGAGTCTTCTCCAATACCACAGTTCAAAAGCATCAATTCTTCAGCACTCAGCTTTCTTTATAGTCAAACTCTCACATCCATACATGACTACTGGAAAAACCAAAGCTTTGGCTATACGGACCTTTATTGGCCAAATAATGTCTCTGCTTTTAAATATGCTGTCTAGGTTGGTCATAACTTTTCTTCCAAGGAGCAAGCGTCTTTTAATTTCATGGCTGCAATCACCATCTGCAGCTGTTTCCATTGTTTCCCCATCTATTTGCCATGAAGTGATGGGACCAGATGCCATGATCTTAGTTTTCTGAATGTTGAGTCTTATCTTTAAGAACACCAAAGCATTAGCCATACAAGCTTCACACCATCCTGTGTGGTCATACAGCCATGTAAGGTTTTAAGCGCAGGATGTCCATCTTGTTGTAACGAGAATCTGATAAGGAACCCGAGAAAACTAAAGTGCATTTAAATGGAAGAAGAACTTAAGGGAAAAAATTAAGTAATGTTACATGTATTAATCTCCTGAACTGACTATAACATTGTAAAGATTTTTCTTTTCTCAGGATTCTGTTGCAAAGCCCCATGTGATTGTAGCAGGAGCTGCCACAGTAAGTAATTCTCTGTATTCTTATATAAGTGACTTTTGTTTCATATACTTAAGAACATGCTAAGAAAAACTTAACTTATGTAAATAGAGTTCTTGATTATACTTATATTTTAATTCTTATTTTATAATTAATTAGACTGATAATTTTAATGAAAAAGATCTGAATGAACTTAGGAAATTTGATGGTAAATATCAATATTATTTTTATATCTAAAATTACATTTTTTCTTGAATGTTATATGTTGAAAGTCTAATTTTTTATCAGCTCTTTGTAACTGCCTTCATGTATTTCATGAAATAATTGACCATATTTTATTCTAATATTGAATAAAAATGGAATTCTCTTAAAATAAGAACCTTTTTCTTACAATAGGGGAAATTATATACTTTCATTTTCCTGTGATAAATACTGAATTAATGCTTAATTTTTACTTCCTCTTAGTGGTCTATCAAGATTCACAATGGCAGCAATGAAGCGCTTTCCCAGTATAAAATGAATATCACCTCCATAGCACCACTTTTAGAAAAACTGGCAAAGACTAGTGATGTTTATTGGGTCTTACAAGGTAAAAGTAATGAAACAATGTCATTTGTATGTGTTTTGAGACTTGGGTTTCTATTATCTATTTCAAAAAGCAAAATTACTACTTTATGAGAATAAATTTTGAGGTAAGATTTGTGAAATTAGAGTAAACTTGAGCTATTTGGTTTCCTGTTTTGAACTTAAGGAGCAGACAGACTAATAAATATAATAAGTAAATAATTAATAATAAATAAATTCTCCAAGGAGTCTCAGCAGTTAGAATAGAACATAACAAAGAGAATAAGTCCTAAAGGCAAATTAGATGCTTGCGTTTGATTTTATTTCTTATCAAGTTTTTATGGTGATTGGGAAATATAGAAAAAATTATCTGGTTCGTAATATTAGACTCATTGGAAATAAACATTCTTTGGAATTGACAGAACATATTTAAATTCAAACCATCTAGTTTATACTTGGCAATGAAATTCTTTAAGAAAAAGTTGACATTAGATCAAATTACTTCAGTTTATTTTATGTCCATTATTTAATGCCCTGCAAAATATGAAATGCCTTGAGTATTTTAGCAATTTAAGTTGTTGGTCAGAAACTCTTATGATTATTTCCAAGTTTAATGTCGAACTGAGAGGAATAACAAGGATGTTAATAATCTCTTCCGAAATCCCTATTTCATTTACGGACTCATTAACCTTTCTCTTACTAAAGTGAGAAAAAGTTAAATTTAAATGATTATGCTAAGTGGTAAAAAGCTTTGATCATTAGTAATATTACCTCCTAATTGTGTGAATTTTGCAAAAATTAAGCAGCAACAGGAGGAAAAAAAAGATTGACTGCTATTCTTAATTAGGTGATCTTCTATAATCCAGTTTTGAGTTCCCGTTACCTGATATAATCCAGCGTCCAAAATTTTCAAAGTCTTAAGACATGCCAGAACATAAAAATGTTTCCTAAAATTTGTGTATCTAAGAGAGAAGAGATATAAAAGTCTTTTAATTTTAAGAGAGGTATAGATTGATTCAAAATTTGAATATAAGCTAGGAAGTCTATTACAAAATCTTGGTCAACTGTTTTTTAAAAAATTAATTATTAGGTGCTTGGAATGCTCAACTTTAACCATGAAATATGAAATGCAGTTAACTAACTTGCATGATTATAATTTCTACCAGTAGGGACTTATAAGTGTATTTTAAAAAATATGTTTCATGTGCAGATCCTGTTTATGAAGATCTATTAAGTGAAAATAGGAAAATGATCACTAATGAGAAGATAGATGCCTACAATGAAGCTGCAGTCAGTATTTTGAATAGTAGCACCAGAAATTCTAAATCAAATGTTAAGGTGTTCAGTGTTTCCAAATTGATTGCTCAAGAAACCATCATGGAATCTTTGGATGGCTTACATCTTCCTGAATCAAGCAGAGAAACTGTAAGAATTTTTGTATTTGTCAGTAGGGACCAGAATATTTAACCTATAGTTATATATCACTATAACATGGTAATAAATAATTAATTTAATTGCAGTCAGTTATTTTCAGTTTTTCTGTCTAGACATAGATCTAGAAATAATTTGACTTTCCATCACCTAGTTGAATCTATAGGAGTTTTCGTATACTCTAAGGAAGAAGGTTATGGAAGGGAGGAAATGCGACTTTATTTAGTCAGTGCTAGTTACTCTTTATACCTCGTTTCATAAAAAGCTTTTAAGTCCTCATTACACTCATGTTTAAAAACTACCGCTTGATGTTCTCTTTGCCTTAAACCTTAAAATTAAGCTTCCGTAAAGAGCATATTTTAACATAGAGAACACTTTTTTTATTATTTCCTTCTAATTCTGATACTCTAAGCATTAGTCATTGTACAGAGTAGATACTGAACAACTCCAGATTGATGGGTGGGAGGGGATTTTAGTTTAAATACAAAAGAGAACTGAATAATTATAAATTTTCACACATAGTGCAACAGATAAAGCAGTGGTCCTGAATCTTTTTGAGTATCACATAACCCTTGTATCTGAGAAAAAGTAATTGTTCCATTCCTCTCATGCAGAAAAATGCATATTTGCGTACACACACACAACACTTCTCCATATTTTTTCAAGGGCTTTGTGGACTCCCTAGAACTGGTTGTGAACCTTGGGATGGAGTTTGTAGACTAGTGTCTGCAAGAGTTCCAGGCTCAGAATCTTCTAAAGTCTTAAAGCTGAGAGAACGAGATTTTCTAAATGGCTGAATACTTTGAATGCTTTAGGCTTAAGTAGTATAATCATCTTAAGAGTTGTAAAGGTTTTTAGAACCATGAAGTTTTTATAAAACTAAATTTGACTGAACCTTCAGCTGGAAAGCCTCCTGATAGCTTGTCTAGAATATTTTATTATGATAAAACTATGTTGAAGATTCTCTACTTCAAGTTAGAAACACTAAAACTATTGAATCCCAAGTGGTCCATAAACTTGTAAACCAAATGAAAGGCATATTATAAATATTGTTAGCTAAGAGTTAATCATTTTTGGTGGCAGTTACTCTACATTCTTTTTTCATATCTAAAGACTGGAAGTGTATCTTAAGTATCTTGGTATCTTCTTTATTGAACATCTGTTAATTAAAATTCTTTGGTCCTTGACATCTGTCAGTGTTTTTGTAACCAAAAGTCATGGCCCATTAACAGTCATGAAATTGCATTTTTTTCATTTTTTAAAGAGTAGAATAGAAAAAACTCAGATGCATTCCAAGTAGTAAGAATGGGTATTGTTTCATATATATACATGTATATATATATATGTGTATATATGTGTATGTATGTATATATATTATTCTGAGTCACATTATAAAATGAACTTTTCACTATGGATCATAACCCAAGAAGTTTGAAAAACCCTGAACTAGTTATTTACAGATTGAAGGACTACCATTATTTACATGATTGTTTGGGAAATGGTAGTAAAAAGTGCAAAAGCATCTTGGTTTCAGTGCTAAAAAGTCAGTTGTATTCACAGGAGAAAATCTAATGGGAAATACATTACTGACAAGATAATAACGAAATCACTTGATTTGTTCACAGAGTGCAATGATTCTTATGAACGTGTATTGCAATAAGATTTTGAAGCCTGTAGATGGTTCCTGTTGTCAACCTCGACCTCCTCTTACTCTCATACAGAAGCTAGCTGCTTGCTTTTTTACTTTATCTATTATTGGATATTTAATTTTTTATATAATTCATCGTAATGCTCATCGGAAGAATAAGCCTTGTACCGACTTGGAAAGTGGAGAAGAAAAGAAAAATATTATCAATCCCCCTGTGTCTCCATTAGAAATACTTTTACAGTCTTTCTGCAAACTTGGCCTGATTATGGCTTATTTCTATATGTGTGACCGGGCAAATCTATTTATGAAGGAAAACAAATTTTATACACATTCAACTTTCTTTATTCCAATTATCTACATTTTGGTTTTGGGAGTATTTTACAATGAAAATACCAAGGAGGTAAGAATCATTTTCGTTTTAGTTCATGTTATCCTTCTCATCACATTATAAAGTCTGGATTAATGAATTAATACCATTTATCATGCCATCATATACAAATATTTACATATATAGAAGAGGATGAAGGAATATTGCAGTTGTACTTCACTTGGTGGACTCTTTTATTTATTTATTTATTTTTTTGGTGGACTCTGTTGCTTTTTTGAAACAGCTTGGAGGAAGTTCAGTTTCATAAAGACTGTTGAAAAGTTGGAAAATAATGACTGTGAAAAAGATATCGTGGCGGTGTTATTTTGCCTGCCTGAGGATGGAGAAAGTAGAGATGCTCCCAACTTTGTGATGGTCCACAAACATGAGATACTATTATCTTTTATAAGTTAAAAGTATATAATTACACTAATAAACAGTTTTTCTATTTATATATTTATACACTCAGTCATGCACACACAAATTCGAACTTACATAATAATGTGGGCACTGTTAAAAGTGTTCTGAATGCCTATTTTAGCTTTGCTGTAATTGCTCAGAATATAAATGTAACTCCTTTATAAGCATGATTTATTTGAATTAATAAATTCTTTTGTAAGAAGTAACTTTCATATGAGGATGATTAATCAGTTCTTTATCCCCAGTGGGAATATTCTAGAGAAAATAAAGTATTATAATGGAGTTTTTTTCTTCACAGTACAGTGTAAGAGAACTATGAGTTTTTTCTAACTGAAATTCTAAGATTTTCTTAAGGAAAATTATAAAATGCCATTTTTTAGATTTATAAACACATCTGTCACAGTTTAAAAAATAATATAAAACCATAAGTATCAACTTAAGTATTTAAAATCTTTTATATTCATTTTAATTCATATTAAATTCATTCATTTTAATTCATATTATACTTAAATAGTTTATTATCTCTTTTATCAAGAAATTAAATGACAGTCTTTAACTGTTTTTCCCCCAAGGTTCTTTTGAAAGAGGCATTAATTTATATCCTATAAGAAAAATTTTAACATACTTAATATATTCTGTCTAAATAATAGCTTCATGATGAGTTTTAAAACAAATATTGATTATTTTACACAGACTAAAGTATTAAATAGAGAACAAACAGATGAATGGAAAGGCTGGATGCAGCTTGTGATTTTGATTTATCATATCTCTGGAGCAAGTACAGTAAGTATTTAAAATTTAAGTTCAGAAAATATGGGAAATAATGTCACTTTAATGTTTCCTTTAGGGCACCAACTCTTTGTGTTTTATATTCTCTACCATTTAGAGACCCATCTTATTTCCCACCCAATCTTTTTGTCTTCCCATTTCTCTCCTACCACCTGATCTGAGAATGTATACACTTAAGGCGAAATAATTATTTTTTTAAAGATAAGGCAATAATTTGTTTGTACTTACCCGACATTAATTTTAGTGCAGTAGGAACAGTCATCGTGGGGTATTGTTTCATCTCATCCTGTTAGAAAACTTACTTAAGTTGTTAAGAGACTTTCTAGATGATACTTAGTTGCAAAGGATTTAGAATAGACAAGTTACTATTAAAAGAAATCAGATTAGATGATTATATTTTATATTCTACCCTTCATTGTATCTTAGCAAGTTTGACCAACTGTTTTTATACTTCTAAAGTTTAAAAATGTAGAACTCTCTTGCCCCAGTATTGAGAATCCTCAGATACTGATGATCTGCTGTTGTTGACCATGTATTATCTTCCATACCTCCTAAGTATTACCCCTTCCCTGAGATGGAGGACCCTTCCTTACCTTACCTGGTGCCCTCTGTACCCGGCCAAAATCATTTTTCCTTCAACAGAAGGTGTCTTTTTAAGTCTTTTAGACTTAGGATTCTCATTAACTGGGGTCACCAGATTTGGTAGGGGTAGAAAAAAATGTATTCAGAAGTGTAACATTAGAGCTACAGTTAAAACAAGCTTTTAAGAGTGAACCTAGGTATCTAATAACCACTTTTCACACTTTTTAAGTGAAGGTACAAATTGATTTCTATAAAATTTGTTTTTATTTCAAATTTTATTTGATTTCTATAAAATATGTTTTAAAATTTTAACAGATTCTTTCATAATTTGGGAACTATTGGACATGAACTGGTGTTTTATTTGCTTATATAAAGCACATGTCTATAAACAGTAATTTAACATAAAATCAATGTTATGTTGAGATAACAGGGGAGATTTGCCAGAAAGGAGTGTTATGAAATTGCCATAGCAGCAGTTAAGATAAATAATACTGAGGTTCATCAGATATCTCTTAACAATTAGAAAATACTTATGTTATTCTTCATTAAGTCTCTTTATTTTCAAAAATTGCTAGTAATTTTATGAATGACTTGCTTTAAGGGTGAAAGGCAGAGGGAGAAGTGTAACTTTTAAAACTGAAGTTGTCCAGCTCTAGTATGTATATGTGTGACAGCAGAATTCCTGTGACACTGCAGCTGAAGGGGACCTAGTAAGTTCAAGCAATTGTGGAAGAGCCAAGACAGTAAAAGAGATCCGGAGCAAGAAGGCATGAAGATAGTAAGACTTAGTTTGTAAGCCCGGTTCAGAATTTGTAGGATATATTTAGCAAGTTCTCTTAAAAGTAAGTAAAGACCAATATCGAATCATAGAAATAACTCTGACACTTGAAGAAAGACTAGATTAATTTGGGGTGGGGGTGGGGAAAGATTTGAGAGGATGTGGAAAGGGTTTTGTTTTAAGAAAATGCCACTTAAAGACATAATTAATTGCTGACATATTAGAGAGTAGTAGTACTGTTTAAAAAAAAAGAAACAAACCCAAATCAGAAAGTATTAATGGCAGGTTCAGTTTTTCAATTCAGTGATTCCAGAAAGCATTTGGATCATAAAGGGATGAAAGCAGTTTGGCATTCTGTTATAATCATTTGCCAAGTTAACGTTCTAATACATCTTAAACTACATCCCAATTCATTCTAAATTACAATTTTAAAATATCTATATTCTGGGAAGATATAAGGATCATTTGTGATGATTCACATATCCCTGTTCTTTTATATAGAATTTTGTGGTTAAAAATTACCTGCATCTACATTTGGCAAAGCATTATCAGCAGGGGTTATAACATATTTGGGGACTTGATTCTTTGATATTTGTGGAATTACCCTCATTAAAAACTTTTTAATTGTCATGATTATTTTAATTACCTTATATTAATGTTTGATGTTTTGAGTAAAATTTGTCAAGCTTTAGTTGTGCCGTGTTTTTATAGTAAAATAGAAACTACGTAAAAAATTACAGAGAATTATTAAAATAATCCAGGTGGACTGGCAGATTGCAATTGTTGGTGTAAAAATTCCTTTAAAACATAACTTATATCAGATATAGATAAAATACTGTGAAATATAGAGTGTGCAGCAAGTTAGGTATATACAGTAGATGACTTTATGTTCCATTGTGGCTTTTTCTTCTTTGAGAGTTTGTAAATAACTTCCCTGAAGGGACCTGAATAAAAAGGTGTTAAGGGAAAATTTGTGAGGCTAGAAAAAGAACAGAACCAGAAGCCAGCCTCATTATTAATTCTAATGAAGTTGGATACTAAATACATTTTTAATACTAACATTTTATTGTAATATTTGACTCCTGAAAGACAAAAAAGGAAAACAATTTATATTAAAGGAGGCTAAAGAGGAATAAAAGCCAAATGCAGTGTATGATTCTTAACGTTCCTAAATTTAAAAAAAATTAATAATAAAGGATATCGCTGGGACAATCAAAGAAATTTGTGTATGGATTGTACAGTGGATGCTATTATATTCATATTAAATTTCCTGGGTGTTATAATGATAATACAGCCATGTAAGAAACAACTCTTTCTTAGGTGATACTGATGGTTGCTGAACTCTCTAGGGGTGGTGTCGTGGCCAGCAGCGTGCTTTCTCAGTAGGTCAGCATAGGGGCGCGCGGGCACTAGTGAACGGGCGTTTGCCGTGCTGTTCTTGCAGCTCTTCTGTTGGCTTTATCTTCAAAGAATCAAAGCATTATATAACATTTGCAGTAATGCAGCGTTGGTAGGAACTTGGCAAATTGTTAGGATAGTGTTTAACTCCATTTAAATGGTTGCATTTCCTGTTTAAATATAACTGAGTCTCAACATTGTAAGCCCAGACCCATTCTTGAAGGGGCTCAAAAGCATGTTTCATGGAGAGTGGTTTACATAATTGGGAATGATTAGCCTCAGTTTGACCTCTGTTTATAAATGCTTACAGAACTATCAGATGTAAAAGGGATAAAAGGCATGCATATGGCTCTAGAGCTAAACTGTCCATTTTGGTGGCCTCTAGCCACAGGTGGCTATTGAGCACTTAAGAGAAGTCAGAATTGAGATGCTCTGAAATGTGAAATATGTATCAGATTAAGTATGATTCATTTTGATAAATGCATACAAAGTTCACAAACCTAGTATGAAAAAATATGAAATCTCTCAGTATATGTTGGGATGATATAATATTTTGTATATATTGAGTTAAATAAAATTTGTTTACTTAAATTAATTTCACTTGTTTCTTTTAACTGTTTAAATGTCTGGCAGCCACATTAAAAATTTGCCACACGACTCACATTTTATTTCATTGAACAGCACTACCCTGGAGAGCTTAAAATTGGTAGCTTTTACATAGTTTGATTTCAGTTTTTCATGACAAGGAACTTTATAGCACTTAATGACCACCTGAAAATGGAATGGATTGCCTTGAGAATTTGTATGTTTTCCACTATTAAAAGGTGCTCACATACTTGAAGGAAATATTTTAAAGTGCATTCAGGAGTAAAGTAAAGATACAGGTATGGATTAGAACAGTTTTAAGGCTCTTTCAATCCCGTGTTCCCACCTTCATCCCCATGATTCTAATGTTATACCTGCACTGAAAATTTCCGATCTAATGATAAGACATTTAAAAAGAACTAATGATGAAGAGCAATAAATAAAAAATCTGATATGTAGATGTTTGTGCTAAAATACCTCAAAGGAAGAAGAAATGACTTTCATCTGAGAGTAAAAGATTGGAAAATTTCACCAGGGCTCTCTAGAAGATTAGAATATGTATAAATAACATGTGGTTAGGAGAATATTCCAAGGTAGAATGAGCAGGTGAACAAAGGAAAGGTGACAGAAAAACACAAGAAGGACCAGTGTAGGAGACAGAGAATCTAACAGTTTGGCTAAAGTGGAGGCTACATTGAAGAACTTATAGTTTATTATAATCGGGGGTTTCCTTCCAGAAAAAAATCTTATCCCTCAGAAAAGATAAAGGAAATGTGCAAGGCTGCATTCAAGGATACATACAAAAGATGCATATGTCCAAGGCCTTATTAAATCTGTTTAAGGCATCTGCTCAGTTATGTTATCCTGCAAAGTATCACTTGGGGAAGAAACACTTAGCTAAAGTGGCTATAACCAGTGTCAATGCTGGATAATTACAGAGATGATCAGATGAGTCAATCAAATAGAAGCAAAAAAAAAAAAAGTTTACATAGATTTAGTAATTATTCCTAAAAGAATGGCCTTATTATTACAAATGTTGGGTGTCACTGAACAGGTCTTTTAAAGATCATTTTAAAAGGCAGCACACTACCTGTATTGTGAAATAGTGAATAGACAACTAAGGAACTAAGATGTTGTGGAGAAGTGCAATGACAGTGGTTTGAGGTTAAGAGAATTAGGACTTGTAAATGAAATAATATTTCCAGTGACTCCCATAAAATATAGATGACAAATGTATTTCATTCAGCTTACAGAAGTAAAGATGTGATGCTTTGAAAAATCATGGTAAAGATGAAACATCAAAAAAGGAGGGAAAAATAAATTGTTTTATAAAAGAAGATTAGGAGGGAAATAATATTTCTGAATTATGTTTGCATATGTTTTTTAAATGTGTACTTTTTGCTAAATAATAAGTAATCATGACAATTTTATTTATGTCTAAATTCCGTGTGTTTAAGGGGGCCAAAAATGTAGGATTTTGTTTGGTTTTTTTATCTTCTTCTTGAGAAAATGTGAACTCCGGAGTGACCTCATGTTCAGCATATATGATGATTAATAATTATGGATATCATATATTTAATTCAAATTGAATGAAGTATATAAAGTACTTCACATTTATTAAGTCATTCATTTCTCACAAAACCCTTTGAGGAAGGAGAAGATAGTTTCATTTTGCAGTTTAGAAAACTCTAAAGTCACATAACTAAGTGTTAGAACCGGAATTTGAATCTAGGTCTATCAGATTCTAGAGTCTACTTTTTTTTCCACCCCTGCTATGATGCCTAGTTTTTGAGACTAAATCTTTTCATTGAGCTAACACCGAGTGATAATAATGCTCCATTATCTTGGTTAAATGTACTGGCTCTGATTATTTAGGTATAGTTAATGTCAACATGTATTTGACCTGTTTGTTTTTGTCCACAGTTTTTGCCTGTCTACATGCACATTCGGGTTCTGGTCGCTGCATATCTATTTCAGACAGGGTATGGGCATTTCTCATACTTTTGGATCAAAGGAGACTTTGGAATCCATAGAGTATGTCAGGTAGGAATGCATTGTTATTCTTTTTCTTTCATTTCAAAGTGCTTTTGTACCTGACTCTTGAGAAAATATAAATGTAGCCATGAATAATTTGAAGTAATTTGAATTTGTGAAATAGCACTTTAAAGTTGTGTTATTTCCATGTTCTATGGTTAATAATTCCAGATAAGTAATTTATTACTGAGGAATGGAAAAACAGAATTTAGATGAATGTATAATAAATGCACACAAGAGAAAAACATCGCTGATTCACTTTGGTTTTGTAGAAATGTACAGTTACCTGGGATTGTTATAATATGCTATGTTTTCTCTAAGAAGAGGGTAAGATTTATTAAGTTTATACATTGTGCTAGGCAGTTTTGTAAACATTATTTTATTTACCCTTCATTACAACCCTGAGTTATGATCTTTATGTTTACAGACAAGGACACTGAGGCTCAGAGAGGTTAAATAATTTGCCTAAGCTTCCCTGATAGCTCAGTTGGTAAAGAATCCGCCTGCCATGCAGGAGACCCTGGTTCAACTCCTGGGTCAGGAAGATCTGCTGGAGAGGGGATAGGCGACCCACTCCAGTATTCTTGGCCTTCCCTTGTGGCTCAGCTGGTAAAAAATCCGCCTGCAATGTGGGAGAGCTGGGTTCAGAAGATCCCCTGCAGAAGGGAATGACTACCCACTCCAGTATTCTAGCCTGGAAAATTCCATGGACTATACAGTCCCTGGGGTCTCAAAGAGTCGGACACAACTGAGCGACTTTCACTTAAAAAGGTCACATAGTAAGTGATAAAGCTCTAATATTAATCTCAAATTCTGTGTTCTTTAACATCACACCATCTGAAATGACTGTTACGGAAATCCCAAAGATACTTTTGTTTTTCAAAGACACTTTTTAATTTGAGTGATATTATTTTGTATCTATTAAAACTTTCAACTTAATACCAACTGGGATAAATCAACATCAAATGGAGATCAAATGGACATTCTTTCATTGAGATAATCTAATCTTTGTTTATGAACTGCAGTTCTGGGTAGAAGGTTTATGATTCTTTTCCTGCATTTAACAAGATGACACTTGTAGCCAGAGGACTGCCCAGGTTGGTGCTTTACTAGGATCCAGTTAATAAAATGATGCATAAATATTTTATGTTCAACTCCATTTTAGAACAAATATGATTTTTTAAGGATTAGTAAATGGTACTTATTTTAGTCTTAAACATTTATACTCTGTCAGGGAAAATCTGTCTACTTTTCATGCATATGTAGAATGAAAACCATTTTCTTCTCCTTTTTAATAGGTCTTATTTCGTCTCAATTTCCTGGTAGTGGTGTTATGCATAGTAATGGATCGGCCTTATCAATTCTATTACTTTGTCCCCTTGGTCACTGTATGGTTCATGGTCATATATGTTACTTTAGCACTGTGGCCACAAATCATCCAAAAAAAAGCAAATGGTAAATATATTTTCTTACTAATGTTAATAAATATATTCTTCCAGTGCCAGTTTCTTTTTAGTTGCTAAAGGCTATTATTTTTATTGAGATGTATTGACAGTTTTAAATTTATATGTAGCATTGATATTTTGAAAATTTGTTCTTAAATTATGTTTCTAGAATGTGAGTTATGTGGTTCGAGTAGTATTAATAGTGAGGAACAATAGTTTGCATTTATATTATGTTTTCTCTCTTTAAACTTCCAAAACCATTTTACATATCAGTTAGGGCAACCGTTTTCAAACCCTCTTGTATGGAGCCAGAATAGCACGCGCCAGAGGGCCACACGTCCTGCTTCAGTCTTGGCAGCTCCGGTTTACTTGATCCTGTGTCTCTGTGTGCGTGCGTGTGCGTGTGTGTGCGTGCGTGTGCGTGCGTGTGCTTGCGTGTGTAGATTTTGAGTAGACATTCATTTGCAAAAAGGCTTTTTGTGTCAAACAAGCTTAAAAATCACTAGTATAGCTTATCTTCTAAACAACCCTTTAAGCAGTTATTATCAACCTGCTTTATGTTTAAGGATACGTAAGTGCCCCGAAGGTGTCATCTTCAGATTTGACACAGGTAGGTCTGATGAATGTTCAAAGCAAGGTCACAGTCATTGATCCTCATGCTTTTCTCCGTCAAGATCATGTCATTAAAATTAAAGCCTGGTTGGTTTTTTTTTTGAAAAATAATTTTTTTACCTTTAATAATGTCTTTTAGGTCTTTCAATCAAATATTATATATCAAAAATTTTTTTTCTGTTGACTTCTATTATAATACCGAATAATTTTTCAGGAAAGAGTTAAGCTCCAGCCTTCAATAAAGTCCCTTTGTGTCTTGGAGAGTCTCTGTAGTTTAATTCCTCAACACAAACCCTGCATATTTATAAAATGATAATCAATATATGTAAACTGTGAACACATAACTTAAAATATGCATCTGTTAAAATACATCTTATGATTAAACTAGTCCACTGGAAGGTTCTTAAGCTCTCTTCTTAAAACTGTAATGTTTCAGCAGTATTACCTAAGTTATTAAACACGAGTGTTTGTTACAATTACATTGAACCTGTTTTTCCAAGTTTTGTTGTACCTTTCAATAATGAATAGTATAATTGAATCTGAGATGTATTTTCAAATGCATTTATAGTGGCTAAAAATCAGGTATATGGGGTATCAGATTAATGTTGTAGCCTCATTCCTGGTAAGGACACTCCACCTTTTCTTCCTTTGTGTCTCATTGTAATTTATACTACTTAGACATATTTTGTGTATCCTGTAGGCAGCCTTAATTATTATAAAGAGCTATGCATGGTATTAATATGTTAAATAGAGAGTATGTAACATGTTTTCTAATGTAAGTTTACATTTCTTAGTAAATTAAATATTTTCTCTCTTAGGAAATTGTTTGTGGCATTTTGGCTTACTGTTGAAACTAGCCTTCTTGCTGTTATGTATATGTTTTTTGGCATATTCTCAGGTTTGTATTGTCCTTTTTGGTTTATACTTCCTTGTATTTTATTCTGAAGTTCAAATCTGGTAAAGTATGAGAGGAGAGTCAGCACTTTTCTCAAGCTCCATTCTTTAATGACTGTAATAGAAGTGTCACTCTGTAGCTGCCTCCTCAGTGTAGTTCTTTTGAGACCTATCTACTTTTGTTACCTCTGTTTTTGTTGTAAGAGCAATTTAAAGCTCTTCTTCTGGCAATTGTTCAGAATCCATTTTACTTGACTTTGATCAATCAAACGTTTATTGAACGCCTCTTATAAGACACTACTCTAAGTGAAGATCAAAATTCTCTTGACAGAATTTGCAGCTTGGTTTGTGCATTATTCATGGCATCAAAGTGTTACTTGACTTTTCCCATAACTTCATAGAGCAAAATTTTGGCTGTTAATAAAGCCAACTTAGGGGCAAAGGGTCTTGTTTATATGTAGTATGTATCTCTAACCTTTTATCCCCCTATTTTGATGGTTGAGATTTTCTGAACTATTTTCACAAGATGGCAAACTGCTACCTGCTGGTCAGTCCATCAGACAGACTTATTATTTGGGCAGCATGATATTTATAACAGTATTTTAATTTAAATGCATTTAGTTGTGACATATTCTGTAGTTTACTCCCATCTCCAACACTGTCTTGTATCTGACTCTACCAGCTGAAAATGCCATATGAGCATTGTGTGTGTGTGTGTGTGTGTGTGTGTGTGTGTGTGTGTAAACTCCTATAGAGGGCTTTTCTTTTTTTTTTCTTATAGGCTTTCCTATTTATTTTCATCCTTAGAAATAAAGTATCTTATGTCTGCCTGACTTCTAAGGTTTTTTGCAGGAAATATGTAAATAAGGAAACAATAAGCAAATGTTAAAGAAATAACCAGTTAAGTGTCACACTACTTGACAATTATTCATTAAAATTCCCAACACTCCCTGGTTCATCTGAGGGAGGGAAAGGAAGACAGACCAGGAGTTCATAAAAAGAATTAAAACTTAGCTTTGAATCAGTATTGACTCCTGGATAAGAAAAAAAATGTACATAGCCCAGAATAGCCCAGTGTCTTTCACAAATGGATGCTCATTAAATACTTTTGATTACATAAAAAATAAGTTTTGATGAGAAATAAACTTGATACATGATCTATGGAATCCTGTATCTCTAGTACATATCGGTGAAATAGAGAAATGTGATATAATAGGTATACACTTTATATTGCAGGTCTTGATAATAATCATCCTGAGGCATAGACCTTGATAGAACCTATTTTTATAAGTGACTAACATTTTAAATTCTGTGACTAAATGGAGAATCTTACATTTTATTAAAATAATAAAGTTCTTCTGACTGAAAGATTTGATATTACCTAAAACATAATACTGTTTTCATATTTTACTTTGATTTTTTAGTAGCCTTTTAAAAAACTGAAGTTGCACATTTTTTTTAATGCCATGGCATCATGTATAATAATGGAGTTTCCATAATATAGTTTGTTGTTATTCTTCAGTCTGGAAATTGAGTGTTTTGTTCTCTTTTTTGAAAGACTTCATTAATGTACAGAAATGTACCCAAGACTTCTGCCCCTTCATTCCCAGATTTTCCAGACTGTCAGATCAATAAGAAGGTACATTCACTAACTTGACCAGAGTAAAGTTGTAAGCTTTGTTTCAAAGTCTAATAATGGCATTTGGGTATAGTTGAGAGTAAGGTGACTAATTCAGAGGATTCTTTTAATTCATATGGTTCATTATAGATTCATTATTAAGGACATTACATAAAGAAAAACTATAACCATCATCCTTTAGGTTATTGATACCATATTGGCTGAAGTAATTTGTAGTTTTGTGTTTTTATCATTAAATAGTAGCTCTTAAAAATAAATAAATAAATAGTAGCTCTTTTGTACACTAGATTAAATGGAATAACTTTCCAATTACCAACTTGGGGTTTGTTTTGTTTTGTTTTTTGATTTTGCAGTCTCAATAGCCTTTCATGTGCTATGAAAGTAAGTTAACAAAAATGTTTTGTTATCTTTACTACCCATTAGTAAAATAAATTTCTTCTCAAATGAAATGACATTGTGATATGAAATAGAATTTTAAAATTATGAATGACCTTAATATAATCTTAACTTTAGAAAATTACAGTTTATAATAGAATTGCAAAAGCCAGTATTGACTTATATACCATCTTAATTTATTTTCTGAATTCCTCTCTCAGGGTGCATTTGAGAAGATCTTTTCTCTTTGGCCATTGTCCAAGTGTTTTGAACTGAAAGGCAATGTATATGAATGGTGGTTCAGATGGAGGTTAGACCGTTATGTATGTATTTACCTTGTGCTCTTTTGCCATTTCAAATTATACTTTTTAAATTTATTTGGAAAAATGTAATCTGTTTTTATTTAGTTTTGGAGTAAGGAAACATGTTGATTTGGTAAATCAAAGCAATCCAGCCCACCCCTTGGTTTTCTTTTCTCTTATATTTTTGCAGGGAGCAAAATATTTTCTTTATTTTTACACAGGATATCATAACATTTATTGTTATTGTTTTGATTCATCTGGTCTTTAAAAATTATTGTTTTGTAATTGAAGTATACTTGATTTACAATGTGTCAGTTTTTAAATGAAAATTCTTAAATGTTGGGAAAGGTTTAAAGCCAGGAGTGTCATAGCCGTTTGGCAACATGTACCTAGGGCTTGTTGTTCTTTAGTCTCTTAGTCATGTCCAGCTCTTTTGAGAGCCTGTGGACTGTGGCCCACCAGGCTTCTGTCCATGGGATTTCCCAGGCCAGAATTACTATGACTGCGGGTGGCATTTTTCATTCTTTTTTATGGCTGAGTAATGTTCCACTGTATACATGTACCACATCTTCCTTGTCCGTTCACCCACTGATGGATGTTTAGGGGCATCCGTGTCCACTGTTGTAAATAGTGCTTCAGTGAACATTGGGGTGCATGCATCTTTTCAAATTATGGTTTTATCTAGATATATAAAATGTATTTATTTCCTTACTTGCTGCTGGGACTACTTGAAGTAAACCAGCTTATCTTGTCATTGCATGAGATGTTGGCTTGTCTATTACAGATTGTTTCCAATGATCATTGACTTGGCCTCATTTCTTGATGTTTAGGTTCTTCATAGAAACTTTGGACCTTTAAGCTTTTAACCTGTATACTTCTATACATATTGTGCTCCTTTACCAAGTATATTTTCTATTTATTGAAAAGCAGCTATTTAAAACAGGTTTCCCCCCTTATTTTTCAGGTAGTCTTTCATGGAATGTTGTTTGCTTTCATTTATCTGGCTTTACAGAAGCGCCAAATACTTTCTGAAGGAAAGGGTGAACCTCTTTTTTCAAGCAAAATTTCAAATTTTCTATTATTTATTTCAGTAGTTTCTTTCTTGGTAAGTTTCACATGTAATCTTCTAAATTTCCAAAATCCCAAGTGGTGCAGAAAATTAACTTTAAGAGATAGGAATTTTATCGTTTGTTTTTAATAAATGAAATCTTTAACTTTTGAAATATCTTTTTCTCATTTTAAATTGAGCATAAATCTAAAGAGGATATAAACATATATGTGTTAAATATGAAGAATAACTTGAGATCTCAGTGAAATAGGAATTTTAAAAGTTGTAATAAGTTTGGGAAAAAAAATATAACATATTTAACAGAAAGAACCATTACTGCCTTATGATCACTATTTCTGGAAAAACACAGACTTAGGCTCCTCTCTCTCTACTTTGTTATATTTGAGCTTACCAAAATGAGTGAGGGGCAAACCTGTGTACAGTTTTTATGGAACTTTTTTTAATAGCATAATGAAGTCTAATGTCGGACTTCCCGGGCAGGCCAGTGGTTAGCACTTTGCCTTCCAAAGCAGGAGCTGCGGTTTTGATCCTTGGTCAGGCAGCTAAGCTCCCACATGGCTCCTGGCCAGAAAAGTCAAAACATGAAACAAAAGTGATGCTGTAATAAATTCAGTAAAGGCTTTTAAAATGGTCCACATCCAAAAAGAAGAAATCTTTAAATAAAATATGAAGTATGTTATAAATAAAGAAACTTCTTAAGATTGAGTGCTGCCTTTTTAAGGAGTAACTGTTTTTGTGAAGTGATCCATACATTTTTTGTTTTAGACTTACTCCATCTGGGCTAGCAGTTGTAAAAACAAATCAGAGTGCAATGAGCTCCACCCGTCCGTTTCTGTGGTACAGGTAAGTATCTTTATTTAGAGAAATGTTTCTTAATTTCTGATTAGAACAAGGAGTCTTTAGAGACAGCTTTTAGATCGAAATCTATTAATATCTGTCTAAGCCCTACCTTCCTCTACTGTAATAGAGATACTAAAATCTCTTTTAAAGGGGGTGGTTATTAAATGTTATTATTAAATGTATAGAAATGATCAGTGTTTATCACTTGATAAGCACTTAGAAAATGTTAATTCATTTCTCCTGTTTGCTGTTTCATCATTTGTTTATTCAGATTTCTTCATTTACTTGTCTTTGGCCTTACTTATTAAAGGCCTTCCACGTGTTAAGAACCATGCTACAGGTCAGAAGTGCATGTAGTTCCTGCCCTCAGAACTTACAGTCCAATAGAAATACGGATGAACATTTATGCACTTAACAGTTTTTAAAATTCATTTAACAAGTCTTTGATACTTCTATGTGCTAGATGTTATGCTGAGGGATATAGTGATGACTAAAGCAGATGCGCTCCCTACCCTCACAGAGCCTGTATTCTTCGGTTGCAGATGGTAATCATATAATCACCAAGTAATCATAAACGGAAGTTCATGATGCTACAAGGGAATACAGTAAGGGTATATGACCTAGTTGGAGTTGGAGTGAAGGTGGTTAGGGTTCAGAGATGGTTTCCCTGATAAAGTTAAGCTGAGAGGAGCATCCCTGGTGGTCCAGCAGATAAGACTCTGTGATTCCACTGCAGGGGGTGCAGGTTTGATCCCTGATCAGGGAAGTTCTGAATGCCATAAGGTACAGCCAAAGGTGGGGGGGGGGGGGTGGAAAAATTAAGCTAAGATTGGAGGAATGAATGCAGGCAGTGAGAACTTAGGCCCTGTGGGTAGAAAAGAGTATATTCCCATTCAGGGAACTTGAAGAAAGCCGCTGGGGCTGGAACTCAGAGAGCCAGAGTCTAAGAGGGAGTCAGGAGGGGGGATCGGGATGGGGAACACATGTAACTCCATGGCTGATTCTTGTTAATGTATGGCAAAAACCACTACAATATTGTAAAGTAATTAGCCTCCAACTAATAAAAATAAATGAAAAAAAATTAAACATAAATAAATAAATAAATAAAAGAATTATATGGTAGTGACTGGGAGGTAGGTAGAGGCTGCTCGGGGCAGCCCAAATCAGATTTGCATTTTACAGAGATACCTGTGGTTACAGATAGGGCGTTGTGATTAGTGTGGTGATGGTTAAGTACAGGGCACTTTAGAGCATTTGGGATTTCTTCCTAATCCATCTTGATATCAGAGCAGGGTTCTTGGAGAAAGTTATGTCTAAGCCAAAGCCTAAAAACTGTATGGTTTAACAGAAAGGAACAGGGAGGATTTCTGGAGGATCTTCTTTTAGGTTTTTAATTCTCTTCAATGAAGAAACTATTTCATCCATCTTAAACCTCTGTATAGTCAGTAGAACTAAGCATATGACCAACTCTGCAAACACAATTGATAATGACATTGTAAAAATTGTACTAAATTAATATAGCATTTTCAGGACTTCTACAGAAGTCATGCTTACAAGTAACACTTTGTATTTCGTATCTGATGTAATTTCTGTAATAACGTGAAAGGAAGGGGGCTGTTCCACTCACATTACACCAATGTAAGAGTAGCTCATGGAGAGAGTGACTGCACTTAGAATAACGCTAACATAAACCCTGCTGAGCTGCGTCGCTTTAACTCCCAGTCACTATATGCCACACATTCATCTTTCCTTAGTTACTTTTTCCCACCTTTACATTGCTGTCAGTAGAAGGAGCCTTGAAGAGAGCAAAAGATGGGGGTGGGCAGCTCCCAACAGAGTGAATACTTCATAGAAGAAGCAAAATCATATCGTGGAATTTTATTAATTTCGATACACAAATATAGCATTTCTTTCTACACAAAGGTCCTCAAGATGAGTTTATATTTCTTCTAATACATATAAAATAAAACTGTCCAGCCATATAAAACCTGCCCTTGTTTGCACTATATAGACCACTTGCTCAGAAATCCAGTTTGAGTAGACTCTAGATCAAAAATAACTTGCATGTAAAGTAATTAGCCTCCAACTAATAAAAATAAATGGAAAAAAGAAAAAAAAATAACTTTCAAATACTTCATCTATTGAGGGAAAAAAAAAGTCTATGTAACATAAAGAATAAAGTTATCACTTGAAAGAAAGCAAAATTCTTTTAATAAGCAGATTATTAATATTTGCCTGTATGTTTTTTCTTTAGATTTTAGCCTTCATCCTAATAAGGAATATCCCTGGGTATGCTCGTTCAGTTTACAGTTCATTTTTTGCTTGGTTTGGAAAAATTTCATTGGAGGTTGGTACACTAATATTTTGATCTGTCTCACACTACCCAGTGTTTTATGGAGCTGTGTATATAAATGTATATATAGGTGTGTAACTGACTTTTTTTTTAAACCAAAGCTAGGTTTATGAAATTATAGGCAAGAAACTTTGAACTTAAACAGCAGTATTGTAGAATGTTTTTAAAGTCTTATTTACATGACTAGATAGAGATGACTTTCACATATTTATTTTGTCTTAAACTTTCAAGTATAACCAAGATGTGGAAATAAGAGAAAAAAATGAAATAGATACAAATGAAATTTGTAAATAGACATAAATGAAATCAAGCTGAGAGGATTTTGATTTGTTGTTCATTTGTAATTAAATATTATATTGCTGGAATTTAGTTTATTGACACTTATAATAAAATTCACTCTTATTGAAAGTTTTGGGGAAATTTTTAAACTCATTATTTTGTGTGCAGTAAGTAATATGACTTTATCCTCAAAATCAGTTTAAAGTAGGTATGAAATACATTCAATGTATTCTGAGTTTTATTATTGAAATAGAACACTTTAAAATAGTAGAATTCATTTAATCATAAAAGATACATTTTAGAGTTATAGTATGTATTAAGTTGTCTTTAAAATGGGAAAGACTTCTGTGTGATTCAATTACACATTCTTTTTCAGATTCTCTTCCCTTATAGGTTATTACAAGATGTTGAGTATAGTTCCTTGTACTATTTATTAGATTCTTGTTGGCTATCTATTTTACATATAATAGTGTGTTAATCCCAACCTGCTAATTTATCACCTCCCCATTTTCCCATTGATAACTAGCCATAAGTTTGTTTTCTATATCTGTGAGTCTCTTTCTGTCTTGGAATTAAGTTCATTTGTTTTGTTTCATTTGTAAGATTCTCCAGATAAGTGATATCATATGATACTTGTCTTTGTCTGGCTTACTTCACTTATTATGATAATTTCTGGGTCTGTCTGTGTTGCTGCAAATGGCACTGTTTCATTCTTTTTTATGACTGATGTTCCATACACACACACATCTTCTTTATCCTTTCACCTGCCAGTGGACATTTAGGTTGCTTCTGTGTCTTGGCAATTGTAAATAGTACTGCAAAGAAGACTAGATATTTTTCAATTATCATTTTCTCTAGCTATATTCCAAGGAGTGGAATTACTAGATCATATGGCCACTTGAAAAGAATGTGTATTCTGCTTTTTTTTTTTTTTTACTGTAATGTCCTGAAGGTATCATTTAAGTCTGACTATTCTGTTGTATCATTTAGCATTCTGTTGCCTTATTGATTTTCTCTCTCAAAGATTTGTCCATTGATGTGCCTGGGGTGTTAAAGGCTTCTAATTATTGTATTCCTGTCAGTTTCTCCCTTTATGTTTGTTAGTATCTCCTTGCAGTGGTCCTTTTATCATTATACAGTATCCTTCTTTATATCCTTTGTTTTAAAGTCTGTCTTGTCTCATATGAGTATTGTGACTCTAGTCCTTTCTGTTTGCATGAAATATCTTTTTACATCCCCTCCCTTTTAATCTTTGAGTGTCCTTTGCCCTAAACTGGGTCTTTTGAAGGCAGCATATTGTAGGCTTTTGTTTTTGTAATCCAGTCTGCCACTCTGTGTCTTTTGGTTGGAGCATTTAGTCCACTAACATTTAAAGTAATTATTAATAGTGATGGTGAAGTCAGTCAGTCGTGTCCGAGAACTGTAGCCTACCAGGCTCCTCCGTCCATGGGATTCTCCAGGCAAGAATTATTGATAGATATGCTATTTATTGCCATTTTAAACCTTGTCTTCTTGTTGGTTTTGTATTTCTTCTTTGTCTCTTTTTGTTTTTCCTTTTGTGGTTTGATGGTTTCCTTTTGTATTATACTTATGTTCTCTTGCTTTTCATGAATCTGTTGTGTTTTGATTTGCCATTGCTCTGTTTTCAAGTACATTAACTTCTTCCTATATCTGCTTGGTTGAGACTGGTAATCATACAGGCTCACACACTTGCTAAAAAAAGTCTACATTTTCTTACTCTCCTCCCCCACATTGCATGATTCCTCCTTTACATCTTCATGTCCAACCTGTTGCTGTCCATTGTGGTCATCCTTGCATTCACAAAATTTTTAAATTTTTTAAAATCTTTATACTGGTTTATTTAAGAGATGTACTTTTCAATGGTGGTATTTTTCTTCCCTATAGATTCCTCTTTTCTATTTAGAGAAGTCCTTTCAATATTTCCTTTAGGATGGGTTTAGTGGTGTTGTATTCTTTTAGTTTTTGCTTATCTGAGAAATTCTTTCTCTCTCCTTTTATTCTAAATTATAATCTTTCTGGGTAAAGTACCCTACACTATAGGATTTTGCCTTATAAGACTTTTAATAGACCTTGCCACTCCCTTCTAACCTGAAGGATTTCTGTAGAGAAATTACCTGATAACCTTATAGGGGTTCCCTTGTAGTTAACTCTTTGCTTTTCTCTTACAAGCCTTTAGCATCTTCTCTCTAACTTTTGCATCTTAATTATGTCTTGGCATAGGTCTCTTTGGGTTCATCTTGTTTGGGACCCTGTGTACTTCCTATACCTGAGACACCTCTGCTTCCTTCTTTAGGTTTCGGCAAATTTTTTTTTTTTTTTTTTTTTTTGGTTTAGGCAATTTTTAGCCATAATTTCTTCAAATACATTTTCAATCCCCTTTTCTGTCTCTTCTTCTGGGATCCCTACTTGTGGATTGGCATGCTTTATCTTATCCTATAAGTCTGTTACATTGCTTTCATTTTTTTTTTTATTTGGCTTTCTCTCCACTGTTCTAATTGAGTAATTTCCATTATTCTATCTTCTAGATCACTTATTCCTTCTTCTGCATTATCCATTCTGCTCTTCATTGCAGTTCATTCACCTTTTGTCTGTGCAAATGAATTTTCTAATTTTTCTTGGCTCCTCCTTATAGCTTCAAGTTCCTTTTTAACAATAATTTGCATTTCTGTCCATAGCCTCTCTTCATTCCTTCAGTATTTTCACTGTCTCCTTTTTAAACTCAGTATCTGTTAGACTTAAGAGGTCTGTTTTATTGCTTGTTCTTTCAGGGGAATTCTTTTCATAATTTTAATTGAGAGCGGTTCCTCTGATTCATTTTGCATATTTCTCTTGCTGTCTGAGTTTAGGAGGAACAATCATCTGCTGTGGTCTTGGAGGCCTGTTTTTCTGTAGGTGCGTCCCTATGTAGCCTGTGTGGGTTTGGTGTTTTTTGGTGCGAGCGCTGGTTTTAGCACGGATGCCTGGCACCCCTTTGCCCAGTGTATGCTGGCCGTTGTCCTCTTGATAGGAGGTGTGACTTGTGGTGGCCAGAGCCTGCACTGGGTGTGGAACTGGGCCTCCTCCTTGCTCTGTAGCTGTCACTGCCCTGTCAGGGGCAGGGTCTGCCCCCCAGTTGCTGGCCTAGAGGCCCCCAGATGCTTTGCTGAGCTGCATTTCTGAGCCACAGTGTGAGGTAGGTGGGACTGGAGCTCTCCCTCTGGGAGAGCAGCCTCTGAGTTTCCTTGCAGGAGCTGTTGTGTCCCCTTTCATGTGTCAGGGCTCACAGACGCATTGTTGTTGGCACTGCCCTCAGCTCCGCCTCAGTAGTGGGAATGCCAGCCCTGGCCCTGGTGTCCCTGGGGTGTTGTCTTCCCAGGACCACAGTACTCACGCCTCTGAATCCAGCGTGGGAGCTGTGGAGGCATCGCATACTGGGGCCTAGCCCGGCCCTCACGCACGTGTACCCACAGAGCCCACAGCTGCTGAGGTCAGAGCCCTCCCAGTGGCAGGAGCACCTGTTGTCTATTCGTATGTCCCACAGGTGCTGAATCTACAAAGCTGCCGGTGGAGGTGTAAACCCGTGGCTCACACAGCCATGGGGGGAGGGTTCAGTCCTGCTTCCCACGTTGCTTGGCCCCTGGGGCTCAGCTGTGGTTTCCACCCCGCTTCTGCGTGTGGGCAACTCGCTGGCATGGGCTCCTGGGGCCTGCCGAGACGGTGGTTGATGCAGGAGTCTCCTGAAGCAGCGGCAGCTGGGGCGCACTCTCCTGGAGGCGGACGGCCCACCCTTCACACGCCGCTTAACAGTGGCCCTTGGTTTCTACAGCAGACCCACGCTCCTGCAAACACCCGCTGTTGCAGCCACACCATACCCAGCTCCTTCAGGCTGTCTCCATGCATTCAGCGCCAGTCTTTTCCCCAGGTCTACCTCTTAGTGGTTTTGAGTTGCATTTTTCTGGTAGTTAGTGATGTTGAACATCTTTTCATGTACTTTTTGGCCCTCTGTATGTCTTCTTTGGAGAAATATGTATTAGAGCTTCTGCCATTTTTTGACTGAGTTGTTTGTGTGATTTTTTCAAAAATTGTATTGGAATGCAGTTGATTTACCATGTTGTGTTAGTTTCAGGTACACAGCAAAATGAGTCAGTTGTATATATATCCACTCTTTTAGAGTAGATTCTTTTCCCATATAGATCACTATGGAGTACTGAGTAGAGTTCTACTATGTAGCAGTTGTCTGTTATCTGTTTTATATGTAGTAGTGCATATGTATCAGTCCCAGTCTTGCAGTTTATCCCTACACCCTCTTTACGGCCTGGTAGCCATACGTTTGTTTTCTACATCTGTAACTCTGTTTCCGTTTTATATATAAGTTCACTATATATAATGAAGCTCTTTGACCTTTACTTCACTCAGTATCAATCCATCTGTGTCCACCCGTGTTGCCGCAAGTGGTGTTATTTCATTCTTTCTTTTGGCTGAGTAATGTTCCGTTGTAAGTATGCACCACATCTTCTTTATCCATTCCTCTGTTGGACATTTAAGTTGCTTCCATGTCCTGGCTATCCTAAATAGTGCTGAATATTGGTGTGCATGTATCTTTTCAAATTACGGTTTTCTCTGGATATATGCTCAGGAGTGGGATTGCTGGATCGTATGGCAGCTCTATTTTTAGTTTTTTAAGAAACCTTCGTACTTCCTGCATAGTGGCTGTACCCAGGCTACATTCCCACCAGCTCTATAGGGGAGCTCACCTTTCTCCATACTCTCTCCAGCATTTATTGTTTATAGATTTTTGATGATGGCCATTCTGACTGTTGTGAGGTGATACCTCATGGTAGTTTTGATTTGCATTTTTCTAATAATTAGTGATTTTGAACATCTTTTCATGTGTTTTTTAGCCAGCTGTATATCTTCTCTGGAGAAATGTCTGTTTAGATCTTCTGCCTATGTTTTCATTGGGTTGCTTTTTGATACTGAGCTGCATGAGCTGTTTGTATATTTTGGAGATTAACCCCTTGTCAGTTGCTTCATTTGCGAATATTTTCTCCAATTCTGTAGGTCGTCTTTTCATTTTGTTTATGGTTTCCTTTGCTGTGCAACAGCTTTTAAGTTTAATTAAGTCATATTTGTTTGTTTTTGTTTCTATTTTCGTTACTATAGGAGCTGGATTGAAAAAGATCTTGCTGTGGTTTATGTCAAAGTGTTTTTGCTGTGTTTTCCTACAAGAATTTTATAGTGTCTGGTCTTACATTTAGGCCTTTAATCCATTCTGAGTTTATTTTCTTGTTCTAATTTCATCCTTTTACATGGAGCTGTCCAGATTTCCTAGCACCACTTACTGAAGAGGCTCTCTTCTCTCCATTGTGTATTCTTGCCTCCTCTGTCGTAGATTAGGTGACGGTAGGTGTGGGTTTACCTCTGGGCCTTCTGTCTTGCTCCACAGATAGGTATTTCTGTTTTTGTGCCACTGTCATTTTATTTTTGTGCCAGTGTCATACTGTTTTGATTATTGTCTCTTTGTAGTCTAGTCTGAAATCAGGGAGCCTGATTACCCAGTTCCATTTATCTTAAGATTAGTGTGTCTGTTTGGAGTCTTTTGTGTTTCCATACAATTTTTAAGATTTTTTTGGTTCTAGATCTGCAAAAAAATGGCATTGGTAACTGGATAGGTATTACATTGAATCTGTAGTTTACTTTGTGGTATAGGCATTTTGACAATAGACTTTTCAAGGCCAGTAGTGAAACAATTATGCTATCATATGTTTGAATTGGGAAAATCTATAGTATATTTATGGACTTTCTGAAAATACCTAACTTGAAATATTTTTCCTTGCAGCTGTTTATTTGCCAATATCACATATGGCTGGCAGCAGACACAAGGGGTATCTTGGTCCTCATACCTGGAAACCCTATGCTCAACATTATTGTCAGCACTTTCATATTTGTTTGTGTGGCACATGAAATTTCTCAGATCACTAATGATCTTGCACAGATTATTATTCCTAAAGATAACTCATCTCTGTTGAAAAGATTGGCATGTATAGCTGCATTTTTTTGTGGACTCCTCATCTTATCATCCATTCAAGATAAATCAAGACATTAGGATTCTAAAAACTTAAAACACTTCAGATTAACTTTGAATCTACCTAGAGGAGAACAGCGTCTATCTGGAGATGTATTGTAAATGTAAATGTAAATAAAAATTTGTGTGGCAAGAAGATAGCTCAGTGACATCTGTTGAACATGTGTGGTTGTATATTTTGGAAATGTACATATACAATGTGAAATACTGAAAAAATTGAAGCAGAGTGCATCATATAGGATTGCATGTGAAATGTCTTTTCTACTGGATCTACATTTCCATTTATAAGTGATTCTAAGTTAACATATGAAGGCAGGGAAATAATTACCTTTCCAGTAAAAATACAGATAATTTAATTAGCTTAGTAACACCACTGAGTGTTTTGATATTTACTAAATTTATGGTAATAAAAGTTGTATGCACCTATTTTCATCATGGAACTTCCTACTTCATCGAAAACTTTCTTACTCAAGAAAGATTGCAGTGTTGTTTTCTTGTATGTGCAATGATGTGGAATGACAAGCAGTATGTCTTTTATTGTTCATGTTCTGATATTATGTTTCCTGACATGATTTTTCTTCCTAACTTTGGTTTTAAGGTATATAAGCCTAAAATCTTTGTACTCTTTGTCCCAGAGTTGTTCTAGGCTCCATGACAGGCTTTTGTCATTGATGCTATTGTAACTTTTTATAAAAAGGCCAAATTTTCTTTCCAGCCCAAACATTCACCTGTTTCCTTCCCTTAAGCTACACCAGTGTAATCCCAGTGTTACCCTGTGGACTCATCACAGATGCTTTCCCCCATCGAATTAGTTTTTGTATATTATTTCCAATGTTTGGAAGCTCTTTATAACCATTTTGGTATTTCCTATTACTCCCTCCTATTTTTAAAAAAATATTTATCAATCTAAATGTGTGCAGTGTAGTAAAGATTCAAGATATGTTTGAGATGTATAACCATAAGTAGAATTTTAAGTAAACTGGTCACCTTGGGCAATGTTTGTTTTTGGTTTTGTTACAGGCTTAACTGTTAGAGGTATAAATTTATTTATCTGTTGTACAGATTTGATTACAGATTTTAATGTTTTAAAATTGCACTTGTTTGCTGTTACTGTGTATGGGGTAAAATATTTTTTGTTCATGGTATATGAAAATATGGAATAATTTAAACAGTAAATAAACATTCTGTGGATGCTTATTTTTGTATTGTAAAGTATCAATTAAACTATGTGGTTTTTTTAAAAGCTGGATCCATTAATGATTGGTTCAAATGTCTAATTCATTTCCTCAGTTTAAATTTACTTTTTTAAACCTCTTAGCATATATGGGTAAGTCACAGTGATAGTTAAAGAATAATTTAGTTATCAGTGCTTCAGAGGATAATCTGCACTTTCTGCTCATGAGTTAAAACATTGTTTTATTAGTAATGTTACTTGAAGATTTAAAAAATTGAAGTATATCTTTAGCACTGGATTTATGTGCTAGTGATATATTTCCATTAATTGAGGAGTGTCTCTCAAACAGATGTGTGTTCTTTCTTTTTCTCTCTTCTTCTGCCCTTACTTAGTCTTTTGACATTTCCCAGATAGACAATTGTAATGATTCATTGCTCTGCTTCCTAGACTAGCAGGCTTATAAGTAGAGAATAGTATAGTTATAAATCAAAAACTTCCAAGTACTGTGATCACATTATTCTTGCTAGTGTGGCTTGCCAATGAGTAGAGTGCATTTTAATTTAGCTTGTAAGTTTTATCACCTGAGAAAGATTCTTCCTGATGAAACAACTGAAAAAAAAGATGACCAGTATTTGTTTCTTAGGAGCATTTATGTCTTCTAATAATGATACCCAGTTGATTACAAGGTTTCTTCCCTGTTTGAACTCAAGCCTAAAACTTAACTGGTGAGCCCTATATTTCTTCATCACATGTTTTCATTTAATGTATATATAAAATAAAACAGTGACAGATAAAAATTAAAATAACTAAAATATACATTTGTAATTAAAATATTCTATTTGTATTTGATTTTCCTAATGAGTCTTTACAGATAAGAGGTTGTTGTGCTCTAAGTTGCCACAAAGTTAGCATCTATGTATGCTGTGTTTTAATATTTTTTTCTGCACTGACTCACATAATGATTATCTGCATTACTCAATCATACCATTCTTCAGAGAAAGATGTTTAACAGAATATTTAGCTATGCTAAAATTTAGATGAAATCACAGGTTCTCTGAAGCCGAGTTTCTATAAATTGCATCACATTGAAAAATCTGCGCTCTGGCCTCAGAAGGCACTTGCCTTACTCAGGCTACGCCAGTCCTCCCCCGTTGCCTCTGTCAAGCCTTCCCATTTGTATGAACAGCCAAAACAGTGTTAAAACCTCAGGGCCTTGTGATACACCACATTAACAAACTGAAAGATAAAAGCCATGTGATCATCTCAATAGATGCAGAAAAAGCCTCTGACAAAATTCAGCACCCATTTATGATTAAAGCCCTTCAGAAAATGGGCATAGAAGGAACCTACATAGTAAAGACGACATGTGATAAGCCTGCAGCAAACTTTATTCTCAGTGGTGAAAAACTGAAAGCATTTCCCGTAAGATCAGGAACAAGACAAGGGTGTCCACCTTCCCCACTACTATTCAGCCTAGTTCTGGAAGTCCTAGTTACAGCAATCAGAGAAGAAAAAGAAATGAATCCAGATTGGAAAAGAAGTAAAGCTCTCACTGTTTGCAGATGACATGATACTGCACGTAGAAAACCCAAAAGACAATATCAGAAAATTACTAGAGCTAATCAGTGAATTTAGCAAAGTTGCAGGATACTAAATCAATACACAGAAATCACTTTCATTTCTATATATTAACATTGAAAAATCAGAAAGAGAAATTAAGGAATCAATCCCATTCACCATTGCAACAAAAAGAAATATCTAGGAGTAAACTTACCTAAGGAGACAAAAGAACTGTACACAGAAACTTAAAAGACACTAATGAAAGAAATCAAAGATGACATAAACAGATGGAGAGATATCCCATGTTCCTGGGTAGGAAGAATCAATATTGTAAAAATGACTATACTACCAAATGCAGTCTACAGATTCAGTGTGATCCCTATCAAATTACCAATGACATTTTTTCACAGAGCTAGAACAAAAAATTTTACAATTCACATGGAAACACAAAAGACCTCAAATAGACAAAGCAGTCTTCAGAAAGAAGAATGGAACTGGAGAAATCAACCTTCCTGGCTTCAAATTATACTACAAAGCTATAGTCATCAAGACAGTATGGTACTGGCACAAAAACAGAAACATAGAACAATGGAACAAGATAGAAAGTCCAGATATAAACCCATGCACCTATGGGTACCTTATTTTTGAAAAGGAGGCAAGAACATACAATGGGGCAAAGACAGCCTCTTCAATAAATGGTGCTGAGAAAACTTTACAGCTACATGTAAAAGAAATTTGAACACTTCCTAACACCATACACAAAGATAAACTCAAAATGGACTAAAGACCTAAATGTAAGACCAGAAACTATAAAACTCTTAGAGGAAAACATAAGTAGAACATTCAACTTAAAGCAAGATCCTCTATGACCCACCTCCTAGAGTAATGGAAATAAAAACAAAAGTAAACAAGTGGGACCTGTTTAAACTTGAAACCTTTTGCACAGCAAAGGAAACTATAAGCCAGGTGAAAAGACAACCCTCAGAATGGGAGAAAATGATAGCAAATGAAACAACTGACAAAGGATTAATTTCCAAAATAAACAAGCAGCTCATACAACTCAATACCAGAAAAACAAACAGATGTTTCTCCAAAGAAGACATATAGGTGGTTAACAAACACATGAAAAGACACAACATCACTCATTATTAGAGAAATGCCAATCAAAACAATGAGATATCACCTCACACCAGTCAGAATGGCTGTCATCAAAAAGTCAACAAGCAATAAATGCTGGAGAGGGTGTGGGGAGAAGGGACTGCTCTTGCACCATTGGTGGGAATAAAAATTGATATAGCCCGTATTAAAGATGGTATGGAGATTCCTTTAAAAACTAGGAATAAAATCACCATATGACCCAGCAATCCCACTCCTAGTCATATACCCTGAAGAAACCAAAACTGAAAAAGACACATGTATCCCATTGTTCATTGCAGCACTATTTACAATAGAACATGGAAGCAACCTAGATGTCCATCAACAGTTGAATGGATAAAGAAGTCCTGGTACATATACACAATGGAATTTTACTTAGCCCTTAAAAGGAATGCCTTTGAGTCAGTTCTAATGAAGTGGATGAACCTAGAACCTATTACACAGGTGAAGTAAGTCAGAAAGAGAAAGAGAAATATCATTTTCTAATGCATATATACAGAATCTAGGAAAATGGTACTGAAGAATTTACCTACAGGGCAGCAGTGGAGAAACAGACATAGAGAATACACTTGCGGAGAAGGGGAGGAGAGGGTGAGATGTATGGGAAGAGTACCATGGAAACTTGCATTGCCATCTGTAAAATAGATCGCTAATGGGAAAGTGCTGTGTGGCTCAAGAAACTCAAACAGGGGCTCTGTACCAACCTAGAGGGGTGGGATGGGGAGGGAGGTGGGAGGGAGGTTCAAAAGGGAGGGGATATGTGTATACCTGTGGCTGATTCATGTTAAGGTTTGACAGAAAACAACAAAATTTGGTAAAGCAATTATCATTCAATAAAAAAACATTATTAAAAAAAATTTCAGAGCTTTCACATAAAACCATTCACTGTACCTATGAAGTGAATCCTATTACTCTAGGTGCTAGTATAAAACATTTCTATCCTACCATTCCATTGTAAGACAAGTTGCCAGTTAAAATTTTTATAATGGGTGAATATTATTTCAAATGTTAGAAAGCTTTTAAGCGTTGTAAAATTAACAATAAGCATATGTATGTTTGATTATTATTAAACTAGATTGTAAAAAATATTCAATACATCTGTAAACTGTTAAGCCTGTTAAATAGACCATAGGCTTAACATATTAACATAGAACCTTCATAAAACAGACTTAATAAAAGATAGTTTGTCAAGGAACATGCAACTTCTAGTAGAATCCCTCTTCCACTTCAGTTGGATAAAAATGGGAGAAACACTAGTAAGCTTGAGAGCCAAATTGGAATTTTTTTGTTGAGCAGTATTAAATCATTAATACACTGTTATTTTGACCTACAAAATGGGATTCAACAGCTTCTCTTGATTAAAACAACTTGGGTAGTTACCTGCAGAATTGATTTTGACACCAAGAATTCTAAATACTCATGCTTGAAAATCACCTTTAAATCCATTCTGATATTTTAGTGAAATCCCTTCTAGTGTTTTATATGCTACACATTAGAATTATAAAACTTGCTTAAAAGTTAGACTGATAAGGTAATATAAGTAAGAGACTATTTTCTAAAAGGAGAGTTGAATATATGATGAGTATAAATTAGCTAATAGATTAAGAAATAAGATTTAAATTTCTGTGATCAAAAATACTTCCAAACAAAAGTCCAGGACCAGATGGCTTCATAGGTGAATTGTATGAAACATTTAGAAAAGCATTAATACCAAAACTAAACAAAGATACCACCAAAACTGATACCAAAACTAAACAAAGATACCACCAAAGAAAGAAAATTACAGGCCAGTATCACTGATCAACATACAGGCAAAAATCCTCAATGAGGTCCTAGCAAACCAAATCCACTAACACTTAATTAAAAGGAACATACACCATGATTAAGTAGGATTTATCCCAGGAATGCAAGGATTCTTCAATATCTGCAAATCAGTGTGATACATCATATTAACAAGTTGAAGAATAAAAACCACATGATGCATCTCAATAGATGCAGAAAAAACTTTGAAAAAACTCAATACTCATTTATGATAGCAACTCTCCAGAAAGTGGGCATAAAGGGAACTTCATATAAGAAAGACTATATACAACAAACCCACAGCTAGCATCATTCTCAGTGGTGAAAAGCTGAAAGCATTCCACCTAAGACCAGGAACAGGACAAGGATGTCCATTCCCTGCCACTTTTAATTCAACATATTTTGGAAGTTTTAGCAACAGCAATTCAAGAAGAAAGACAAAATGGATCCAAATTTAAAAAGTAAAAATCTCACTTTTTATACAAAATTTATGTTTTATACAAAATTATTTACAAAACACTTTTAAAAATACCATTCTAAAGTATAAACATGGA